TTTTTTTTTTTTTTTTTTTTTTTTTTTTTTTTTTTTTTTTTTTTTTAAATACGATATTTCGACACCTGAATTTCGAATTTGAGTAAGCACTTTTTGACACGCTCAATTTGCGATTATGCCGGCGTAAATCAACTTTAGTTAATAGTTTTTCTCGGCAGGTGTTACAGTTAGTTGTCTTAGTTCCGGCCCCGCAATTTCCACATCGTTTTTAGAAACTCGATATTTTAAATACTTTTTATTACTGCCAACGTATTCGAAATCGCGCATTTGAGTATTTAAACTTCAATACGAGCATAAATATTTACCGTTCTTATATCATGCCCTGCTTCCCACAGAATTCGCTAATTTTTAAAAGTCAAAGGAAGGCATATTTCTTATGATGAGTGCGGCAATCTATTGATACTTCAGGGGAAAAAATCATTTAATGTCTTTGTTTACATAAATGTTGGTATCTAAATAGTGCAGAATATGTATCGACTATCCATCGCTAGGATTCGAACCTAGTTCTCTATATTGGGATCACAGCAGCCACCACGGTTCTAGATGATTGATAAATTTTCTTATTTGACTGAAATATTACGGGGGAACTTTTTGAGATTATCGAGAAAGACATATCCAACATACCCTGCGCTGTTGAGGTCCATGTTATTCGCTAAAAATTGTTATTTCAAGTGGCGACAAAGCCTTTGAAAAACAGCTTTACGATTTCGAATCAGACTATCAGCAAATTTTATTAATTTAAAATTTTCTATTATAGAAAGTTATTTTATTGACATTACACGAAAAAATAGTTCCTTGGTGATATCTAAATAAGATAAGATTGAAAATTGATAGCATTTGCTTTACGAAAGTTTTGAGCGCTTTTCTAAACGCTGATATACACCTAATTTAAAACTAAGCAACAATTTCTTATTATCTAAAAATAAAACTTTGGTAAATTTTAAGCATTGCTTAACGGAGCTGTGACCAAATTATTATTTTAATTTGTTCAACCCTTTTTAAGTATACTTTCGTGGGTTGTCTACTTCCCAATAACTTAATTTTTAAATGTCTGTAGGAAGCTATTCTTTCACTTATGATTAGTGCAGCTATCTGCTTAAAAATTTAGAAGGCAGAATAATAATAATAAAAAACCTATAAAGGGGGCTTTATTTATTCTAATGTAGGTAACAGTAAAGGTTTGCGTCGGGTCAAGAAGAGATATCAACAATAGGGAGTTATTTTCTTTTGTGCGTTATGCGTTCGTTCAATGATCATTTCTTATAGAGTTTATTTGTAATTGGGTATAACATGAAAAAAAACACAACTACTTCGATTTAGTAGGAACAACATATGACGCAATGCTAAACGAATGGAATTTAGTTGTTGTTTATTTAGTTATTGTTATTAGTAGTTGTTATTTGTTTCAGTTGTTGTTGTTGTTTATTTAGTTGTATTTAGTTTCAATAACTTTTCCTTATAATGCAATAAAATCTGGCGAGCAGCTATTTAAACGATCGAACACTTGGTTTGTTTATTTGTGGCTTGAAGTTAGGCTCGCAGAAAATGCCGTTCATGGGTTAAATTTAGTAGGAACAACACAACCTGTGACGTAGGCTATATTATACCCAATTAAGTTTCCATTCTCAAGCAATTTTTTCGTGAGCGAAAAAATCGCATGCAATGTGAGTGGCCCTGTGAGGAATTGGCGAGTCAACCTTTTATATTGAATTTATTTGCCGAGACCGATCAGAAATGCATGAATCCAGAAAATTTAAACACGGTTCCCAGCAGATCACCGAAGTCAAGCATCACTGGCTGCAGTCAGTGTGCGGGTGGGTGACCACTTGGATCAATATACGTAGGGACCGAGAGTGTGCGGTATTAAACTGTTAACTGTTAAACTGTTCTACAGTAAAGTGCTCAACTTTGCGTGCAGGTCGTCGGGCTACCGAAGCGGTGGTGCCATCCCCTCTGCAGAGGATCAAAATTGTGATGGCATGTCTCGGATCATCCTCAGGGATGTTTCCCGGACCGTCGCCAATAGCCCATTGTGTAGCTCTAGTGCGACGCAAATGAACAACAACAGCAACAGAAAATTGAAAATACCGAGGGCTAGAGCATACAATAAATTTTAGCAGATTTTTGAGTCTATCGAAAGTTTATCTAGTATTTTTTATAAAGATTAGAATGCTTATCTTCGTTTTGAAAGCTTATTTCAATGTATACATTTTAAGAATCCTTTTTTTATTTATTTTTTTTTTCAAAATATAGTTTGGTTTTTTTTCTACCCCGTGCTTTGGGGCTAGTTAACAAAACATATTTTTTTGTGCTTTGTGACCATGGAGTGAACAAGTCATAAAACTAATCACTTAATTTATTGATAAATATTAAAAAAAGCAAGTGAAATAAAATTGAGACAACTTTTAGTCTAAAAATACAGTTAGGAGGTAAGGTATATTTCAGTTTACGATGTTTATTTATTTCACTTTATTTTAGTTTTCGATTAAGTTTAATACACACATAAATACCAACTTCACTTCACTACCAACGGTTTAAAGGGTGATTTTTTCTTAAATGCTTAAAGTGGTAGCAAATATTATGCCTTATCATTTAGTTAGTTTAATAAAATTGATTCACGATGATCTTAACCACCACAAATAATTCAAACAATGTCTTGGTGATGCAGTTAAAGAGTGGCTGTGATTATTCTTATTTTACAAGTTTAACTATTTAATTTGATACCAATTTATTAAAAAATTTTGCTGAAGAGGAGCAGTTAGCATAGCCAAATTTGGTATGAAACTAATATTTTGAAAGTTTATGATCAATAAAATAATATTTATAGATCCCGTACCGATAGTCAACTCCTGAGCAGAAAACACGATTTTTCACAAAAAATTGCGCATTTTTTGTAATAAAATCTGAACTGTCGGTTGTAGAAACACAAATCTGAATACATTTTATAATTTTTTTTTTTTTTTTTTTTGAATTTCATCTCTTATAAGTGAAACCTCTTTGTATAATGAATAGACTAAAATATACAAGTGTTTTATGATATTCCATCCAGTAAAATCAATTTTTTAAAAACCGTTGGAAAAAATATTTACATTTCGTTAAATACCGTAAAATGGATCAAGTAAAATTGTTATTATAAATTTTCTTATTATATCGGTTAAAAATAACAGAGGTTTACAAAAAGAAGTGAATAAATTCAGATAAAAAGGATTTTTCCAATATATTATCTCTTTCTCAAGTAATTATTTGCTAGAATTAGAATCCATGTGCTAGAATAAAT